AAGATGAATCCACTAGAAAATCAACTGACACAGAAGAAAGAACACAATTGGTCAACTTGATCTCTTAGACATACTCAGAATACTTCACCAACAAAAGCAAAATTTACAGTCTTCTAGTGTTTTTGGCATTTACTCCAGATCATATTTTATGCCATAAAGCAAACATCAATAAATTTTAAAACATTGAGATGCTACAAATGATTTTTTTCAGATCACAAATGCTGCAAAATTAGAAATCATTCCTATATGGGAATTGCAAAGCACTGTGCTTAAAAAGCACTGGATAATTGAAAAAATATATATAATAAAAAAATTCCGTAATACAAATGAGAAAGAAAATACAACATATCAAAATCTCTGGAACTTGGCAAAAGCAGTATTTAAAGAGTGGTTTATGATAATAGCTGCACATCAAAAAGTGAGAGGGAAATGGGATTGTAGAGTAAATAATGAAGGCAGGAGAGGGGAAGGAGAACTAGAACTGATTGTGATTGCACAACTTGTTTTAAAGGCAGTTTAACCATGAGGGGGCGGGGCGGAATACTCTAAGACTGATGTGGTGCTAGTTGTACATTTTACCTTGATATGATTGAACCATTGGATTTTTTGATATGTACATTATGTGCCAATAAAACTGTTGGGGGAAAAGAAGTATCCTTTCATATCACAATTCCAGGATTAATTTAGTTTTTCTTCAGTTCTTTTAATTTGAGAAATATGGAGCATATTCTCTTTTGGGTTTATATCACACATTTTATTACAGTATTTTGCTTTGCCTTCTTGACCTGTTCAATGTGTCAAACTTATTAATTAGATGTTCTCTAAATTTATATTATACTTTGACTTCAGTGGACTTGTTATAGTTTTTCCCCTCAGCTTCAGCCTGTTTGTACCTGCATATGAATAATTGATGACTTTTCTGTCATCACATTCACTGTCAAAAACGATAAATTATTTCTGATCATTGAGATTGGTAATATTTAGCTTCTCCATCAACTCTTCCAGAAATATACTTAACTTGATTCCTGTATAGTCCACCTAGCAAAGTATATATGAATAATTGGAATGTTTGTTATTGGGAAAAATATTTCCCATGAAGAGGCTGTGAGGGTCACTGGCCTTGCAAAATTCTATCCTGTCATTTGTAACACCAAGTCACATGGTCCAATTACCAATCTTTTTTTTTTCTTTCCAACTTTCACTATCTGATCACCAGTCACTGTCAATGAATTGTGATTACATGTATGACCATGATCAGATGACAAAAGTAGGTAAAACTATTTAAAATTTTCTCATTAGTGGTGGGTGTGTAAATTTGATTAGCAGTGTTATTAACTGGTTTTCCTTGTAGGTATAGGAATATTGGCCTACCACTGGCAGGATTGTATGTACCATACTCCAGGATAAATCTTGAAATATCAGTTTTGGCAATGAATGTAATACCACTCTTCCTCAGACTGCCATCCCTGGCATACTAGATCATATGATTTTCTGATAGAGGCCAATATCAGTCCGTTTCAAATTTTCAATACCCAGGATACTGGTCATCAAGTATTTCATTTCATTTTACACAACTTTCTGAGAAACTCAATTTTCTTACATTCTGATTTCATACATTTCATGTATCAATTATTAATAGATGCTTGTAGCTGTTTTAAAAAATGAGGTGTCAACTAAGTAAGTACACATGGAAAAAGCACATGAGCCTGTGCGATCCAAGGATTGTAAATAATATAATCCAAATCAAAAGGAGGGAAGGGTTTCAAAGCTTAAATTGTGAACATCTGGTTTGCAAAGGTCTATGTACCACGACAACGGAAGCCCAAAATCAATTTCCAATGTACACACATTGATTAGGCTCCAGTGAATCCCCTCTAACCATAATCAAGCAATGTGTATAGCCTTGTTATCAGATGAAAAGCATGGTAAAGTTGTTTGGGTAGACTAGAGAAATAAATTCATAGACACTCATGTATATGAAAGAGCTCTATATACAAGAACAATTGATTATTGAGAAAACTTCTCAGCCCAGTCCAGATCAAGTCCATAAGTCCGATATTAGGCCATATGTCTGATACCAATCTATAAATTACTCTTCAGACTCACGAAACGCATGCAATGATGCTGAATACAGGAAGATCACAGACCAGTGGGTAGAAAGTCTTGTGGATCCAGTGGCAGTAGAAGCATCTCAGCACTGGCAGGAGTCTTCACGTGGCTCCTTCAATTCTAGGGCTCTAACTTAGCTCCATGTGTCTTCTCAACAGGAATGTCTCTCACGGAGTGAGTGTGTGTCCCCACTCCAGTGAGCTATTTACCTCCTTAGTGCCTCCAAATGAGGTCATCAAGCTTCTACCTGATTGACAGACTAAACTCCACCCCTTCACTCTTTAAGTCTCAAAATGACAACAGATTATGTTACTACCACATTGCTTAGATTAAATAATTAATAAATTGTTTAGCTATATTTAAATTAAAATGTAATGCCTTATTTGCTCTGCCTTTTAACCCATTTTAAAGTTATTCGAGTTTTTATTATTTTCTATTTTCTTTTTGATTGGCTTTTTTTGTTTTACTTTGCTATTTTTGTTAGTGTTTTTTTTGGCATCTTTCCATATATGAAATCCAGGATAGGTAAATCTTTGGAGACAGTAACTGGATTAATCGTTTCTTAGCAGTATAGCAGGGAAGGGTGGAGGGAAATAGAGAGATGACACAACTTTTCTTGATATGACTGAACTATTGAATTGTATGCTATGTAAATTATATACCAATAAGATAAAATTTACATTTGAATTTGGAGATTCAAAACAAGGCAGGAATAATTAAAATAAACAACACATCAACTATAATAATTGGTAAAAGTCCAGCAAAACAATCTTTCAGTTGCTAGAAGAAATAAAGACTAAGACAAGAATAAAATTAATCGGAAAATATTTTTTGAAACTACAAAAAAAATCAAGACAAAAACTCGATTCTTCAAAACGATTAACAAGATTGATAAACCACTGACAAAGTTGACAAAGGTAAAGAACTAGAAGACGCAAATGTTACACATAAGAAATGTAATGGATAACATTACAACAGAAGCAACTGAGACTAAAAGAATCAGTGTTATGAAAAATTATATTGCAATAATTTTGAACATCTAGAAGAAATGAATACATTTTTAGAAATACATTATTTACCTAAATTACTACAGACACTTGTAGATAATCTCAACAAGCATGAGTAGAAAAAGATCTGGTCATAACAAAACTCCCAATATCAAAAATTCCGGGAACAGATAGTTGTTTTTTTATATAAATCATTTTATTGGGGGCTCGTACAACTCTTATCACAATCCATCCATCCATCCATTGTGTCAAGCACATTTGTACATTTGTTGCCCTCATCATTCTCAAAACATTTGCTTTCTACTTGAGCTCTTGGTATCAGCTCTTCATTTTTCCCCTCCCTCCCTCCCTGCCCCGCCCTCACGAACCCTTGATAATTTATAAATTATTATTATTTTGTCTTGTCTAGAGTTAACACCAATCATACATGAACTATTTTATAATATACTAATGGACAATATATTGCCAAGTTATTTTATGAAGCAATTATAGCCCTGATACATAAGCCAGGCAAAGCTATCACCAGAATTGAGAATTATAGACAAATATCTCTGATGGATACAGACATAAACTTTTTCAATAAAATTCCAGCCAACAGAATTTTAAAAAAAGCATCACAAAATAATACATCATGATTGTATTAGTCTGGGTACTTTGGAGAAACAAATCCACAGCAACTCATGTATAAGAGAGTTTTATGTAAAGAAAATGTGCATCACGAAAACATCCCAACCCAATGCTGCCCAAGCCCACAAGTCCAACATTAACCCATTTACCCAACACCAGTCCACAAAGTCCTCCACCTCACAAATCAGGGGCAATGATGCCGAATGCAGGAGGAAAGCTGAGTCAGTGAACGAATAAGCATCTCAGCACTAGCAGAGGTCTCCACACGGCTGCTCCAGCACCCAGGGCTGCATCGGGATAGGTCCATGTAGCTTCTCCTTGGGGATGTCTTGTAGGAAGTCAATCTTGCAAGCTGAAGCAAGAAACTGCTAAGGCAGCTGCACCCTGGTGCGACCATCACAAAGCAAGAGACCCGAGAGCTAGAAAGGCGAGGCTCACCACCCATTTATCCCTCCGCTTTTCAATTAGCCCCACATGTGATTATCGGCCAGGCTGGCACAATTAACTAACTCAATGATCATACTAGATATGCAAGGATGGTTTACAATTAGAAAAACAATCAATGTAATCCACCACATAAACAAAATAAAGGACAAGAACCATGTGATTACATCAACTGATGCAGAATAGGCATTTGATAAAAGTCAAAAACATTCATTCTTGATAAAAACACTCAATAATATTTGAAAAGAAGTGAAATTCCATAGCATAATAAAGACTGCATATGCAAAACCAGCAGCCAGCATCTCAATTAATGGAGAGAAATTGAAAACATTTCCTTTTGAACAGGACCAGATAGGGTTGACCTTTATCACCATTCTTATTTAATACAGTCCTGGAAGCCTTATCATGAACTATAAAACATCGTGAATAATCAATTCTTTGGAATTGTGGTGCTGGAAAAGAATATTGGAAGTACCATGAACTTCTAAATGAACAAACTGATCAGTCTTGGAAGAAGCTAGAGTGCTCCTTAGAGCACTCCTTAGATGATAAGACTTCATCTTACACACTTTGGACATGTTGTCAGGAGAGACCAGTCCCTGGAGAAGGACATCATGTTTGGTCAAGTAGAGGAGCTGTGAAGGAGAGGAAGGCCCCCAAGGAGATGGATTGACACTGTCTGCAACAATGGGCTTTAGCATAGGAACAGTTGTGAGGATATCACAGGACCAGGCAGTGTTTCCTTCTGTTGTGCACAGGGTTGGGTTGCTATGGGTCATAACTGACTCCACGACACCTAATAACAACAGCATAATGCACCAAAAAGATATTAAAGGTATCCATGTAGGCACAGAAAAACAAAATTCTCTATTTGTAAATGATGTAATTCTCTATATAGAATACTTCCATAGATTTAATTTAAAAGTTGATGGAACTACTTGAAATCCCCCCACAAAGTAGGCTAAAAGAAGAACATACAGAAACCAGTTGGATTCTTTTATATGAAGGAAGATGACACCAAAAAGGATATTAAAAGAACAATAGCATTTACAATAACGACCCAAAAGAAAAAGTATTTAAGAATATCTTAACAGCAAAACAAAAGACTTATACAAAGTAACCTAAGTGCTGCCGATGTGGGCAACTGACGCCTGGGGCCCATTGTCTGTGTGGGACTGAGGGGCCCTGGGAGCTAGAGGGGCTTCCACTGGGGGCGGTGGTGGGGTAGGGGCGGGCCTGGACAAAACGCTGAGTAAAGGCTGGCTGGAACTGGAGAGCGACCCCGGCCTCTTCACCCTGCTGGTGGAGGATTTTGGTGTCAAAGGGGTGCAGGTAGAGGAAATCTGTGACCTTCAGAGCTAATGCCAGGGCCCTGTGTATGGGTTCATCTTCCTGTTCAAATAGATCGAGGAGCGCCGGTCCCGTCGCAAGGTCTCGACTTTGGTGGATGACACGTCTGTGATCCATGATGACATTGTGAATAACATGTTCTTTGCTCACCAGCTGATCCCCAACTCTTGTGCTACCCATACCCTGCTGAGTGTGCTCCTGAACTGCAACAGCGTGGACCTGGGCCCCACTCTGAGTCGGATGAAGGACTTCACCAAAGGTTTCACCCCTGAGAGCAAAGGCTATGCAATTGGCAATGCCCCAGAGCTGGCCAAGGCACATAACAGCCATGCCAGGCCAGAACCTCGCCACCTTCCGGAGAAGCAGAACGGCCTCAGCGCTGTGCGCACCATGGAGGCGTTTCACTTTGTCAGCTACGTGCCCAACACAGGCCGGCTCTTTGAGCTGGATGGACTGAAGATCTACCCCATTGACCATGGGCCCTGGGGAGAGGATGAGGAATGGACAGACAAGGCCGGGCGGGTCATCATGGAGCGGATTGGCCTGGCCACTGCAGGGGAACCCTACCATGACATCTGCTTCAACCCGATAGCGGTGGTGCCCGACTGCAGGGTCAAGTACGAGGCCCGCCTGCATGTGCTGAAGGTGAACCGCCAGACAGTGCTGGAGGCCCTGCAGCAGCTGATCAGGGTAACAGCCGGAGCTGATTCAGACCCACAAGTCTCAAGAGACTCAGCTGCCTGAGGAACCCAAGCCGGCCAGTGGCAAGTCTCCCCCAGTGCTGGAGGCCAGCAGGGCCCCGGTGGCCCCCGAGGGGACCTACACAGATGGTGCCGATGAGGTGGCTGCTCCGGGTGCCCCAGCCCTGACCCACAGCCTGCCCAGCAAACCCAAGCTGGTGGTGAAGTCCCCAGGGAGCAGCCTCAACGGGGGTGCCCCCAACCCCGCCCCCATTGTACAGCCCAACACCCTGGAGGTCCTGATGGAGAAGCTCTGGGAGTCCTAGAAAGACCTCTCGCTGCCTCTGTCCATCAGGATGAGCAGCCGGTCTGGGAGCCCAGCTGTGGCCGTACCCGCCCACTCTCAGCCCTCACCCTCACCCAGCAATGAGAGCACCCACACAGCCTTCAACTCGCCGCTGCGCTCTCCCATCTGCTCAGCCAACCCGACTCGGCCCTTCAGCCCTGTCACGTCCCACATCTCCAAGGTGCTCTTGGGTGAGGATGACAGCCTACTGCGGGTCGACTGCCTGCGCTACAGCCGCGCTGTGCGCGACTTCCCACATCTCCAAGGTGCTCTTGGGTGAGGATGACAGCCTACTGCGGGTCGACTGCCTGCGCTACAGCCGCGCTGTGCGCGACCGGGGGCCCGCTGTCAGCACGGGCCTGCTGCACCTGGCTGACGACACGGTGCTCAGCCCACTGGCACTCACAGATGGTGGCAAGGGCTCCTCGCCCTCCCTCAGAGTGGGCCACAGCCACCAGGGGCCCAGCAGCCCAGAGGAGAAGGAGGCAGCGGCGGACGCAGCAGACGGCCGGGAGAAGATGGGGCTGGGGAGGCCCGGGGAGTCCATCAGCGGGGAGAAGTACTCGCCCAAGGAGCTGCTGGCCCTGCTGAAGTGCGTGGAGGCTGAGATCGCCAACTATGAGGCCTGCCTCCAGGAGGAAGTGGAGAAGAGGAAGAAGTTCAAGATCGATGATAACAACTATGACGAGTTCATCTGCACCTTCATCTCCATGCTGGCTCAGGAAGGCATGCTGGCCAACCTGGTGGAGCAGAATATCTCAGTGCGGCGGCGCCAGGGCGTCAGCATAGGCCAGCTCCACAAGCAGCGGAAGCCTGACGCGCGGAAACGCTCGCGGCCCTACAAGACCAAGCACCAGTGAGGAGCTCTGCCCGGCGCATGGCCCTCCCCAGGCCCCCGGGCTCCCAGTATTACTGCAGAGCCCCAGGCAGAGAGCCCAGGGCCGGCCGGCCGGGCAGCCCCACATGCTCTGGAAGCAGCCGCTGGTGCCGGGATGGCAGGCCCTGGCCCTCTGGCCATGGGCAGCAGAGGTATATTTTATCTATCAGAGACGTCTATTTTTGGGGCTCCAGCCCATCACGTCACCGCTGGGTTGACATAGATGGCTTCCAGCGCTGCCCTCCACAGTCCTGGCGGTGGTGGTGGTGGTGATGGGGTGCTGCTCCAGTGCCCTGTCTGCCTACCCTTGTCCTGGGGATGCCAGCCTCCTTGTTCTCCCTGGGCGAGCACCCACACAGCGATGTGGCTGAACAGTCTCCCTGGGGTGTCCCCCCTCTTCCCCTCCAATCTGATATGTGTTTGAGGCTGGTGGGTAGCCTGGCTTGTAATTCCCTAGCAGCTGTGCAGTGAGGCTGGGCCCTCTCCCTTCAGTTTTGTGGTCCTGGGCTCTGGGTCTCTATCCCTGCAGCCTGGGGGGCTCCAAGGCCCCTCTGCCCCACCCCTCAGTATTACCTTGTCTCCCTCCCATAGGGGTAGGGGTTGCAGAGAGGGCCCCTTAGCTTGCCCTCGCGCAGGCCACCCTGCCGGGTGGTGGAGACACAGGGCTGAGACAGCCATGTTGATCCCTTGTCCCTGGGGCTGATGCAAAGGGGTGCTGGTCCAGCACTGCCTCTGGATCACAGACCCCACCCCATTCCCTCTCCCAGATCACTTTGAAGGTGACCCAAGAGCTCCCTTATCTGTACATAGTGGCTGGGGGAGGGGGTATCTGGGAGGTGTGGCCACTGCCCACCCTGGGCTGTGCACAGCCTGACTGACCACTTTGTGAATATCAAATCAGTGAATGAATAACACTCTGGAGAAAAAAAAACAAAACAAAAACAAAGTAACCTCCTACAAGAGTTATGTACAAAACATGACTATAAGAAACCAAAGGAGATTTACACAAATGGAACAATCACCCACATGTCTGGATAGGTAGACTAAACATCACCAAAAATACTTTGGTGTTTCAGTGCAATTGCCATGCAAATACCAATTCTTCAAAGAAATGGGAAACTTAATCACCAACTTTATATGGAAAGGAAGGAAACCCAGGGTCAATAAAACACTATAAAGGGGCATAGGGAAAAAGTTACTATATACATACATTCCTGGAGTGAGGTCCAGGTACTATGGCAGGGGCCAGACCCAATCCAGTGTTACATATGGCGGCCAACTAAATAGAAGGGGGAAAGAAAGGAAGGAAGGAAAGAAGAAAAAGAAAGGAAGGAAGAAAAAGACAGGTAGTGGGGGAACAGGGCATTAACCTACCCAAGGGGAGAGTATTGTTTATATCTCCACAGGAGAGGGAGAGAGGGACCAGACTTGAACCCAGTGCGCCAAGACATGAATGCAACATACCAGCATGAAGCAGCGAACCAATAGAGAGGTCTGAGGACCGGCCCCAATCCCAACTACCTGGACACCCCCCCCCACCCCGAGAATGCATTTCAGAGGCAGCACTGAATCTACATCTCAGGGAGAGGAGCACATCTGATTAGGGCACACAGGAGCAAACAGAGAGGGAAGGAGAGAGAGGAACACATCCTGGCCCACCAAACCCTGAGGACGATATTCCTGTTCAGAGCAATCAATGCACAGAGAGGACCATAGGGCCAGCCCCACAACGTGACACAATGCCCCCCACTGCTCACTGACCAAAGGCCTATGGGGGACAAAACTGAAGACACATTTCGGGAATTGTGCCTGATGTGGTGTGCAACAGAGCAGTAAGGGGAGCAAAGCAACGAAGTCCCTGGGGAATACCAAAAGGAAACTGTAGGGCCAGGGTGTGGCACCCCATCAGACTTGACCAGAAAACATTCCTAAAGGTCAACAAACAGACCTGGAACTATTTATAGGCTTTTCTTTTTTTTTTGTCTTGTCACTGGTTCTTTTTGTTGTTGTTGCATTTTTTTTGTTTTATTTTTTTGTCTTGTTTTGCTTTGTCTTTTTTTGGTGCTTATTATTGTCTCTGCATGTCTATCTAGATGAGATAGGTGGGATAAACAATCTGGAGAAAACAACGGGACTGAGGGTTCTCGGAGGGGACACAGGAGAGGAGGAGTTGGGGAAACGGAAGGGGGATGTCAACAAGCCCAGGGACAAGGGAACAACAAGTGTACATATGTAAATATATTTATATATAATGATAGGGTAATAGATCTATGTGCATATACTTATATGTTAAGTATTAAGGCAGCACATGAACACTGGGCCTCTACTCAAGTACTCCCTCAACACAAGAACACTTGTTCTCATAACCTGGCATTCTTTGATGTTCACCTTCCTTTACCTGATCCCTGAAGACACAATGGGTGCATAAGCAAGTGTGGTGAAGAAAGCTGATAGTGCCTGGCTATCAAAAGGTATAGCATCTGGGGTCTTAAAGGCTTGAAGATAAATAAGCCACCATCTAGCTGAGAAGCAACAAAACACACATGGAAGAAGCACGCCAGCCTGTATGATCATGAGGTGTTGATGGGATCAGGTATCAGGCATCAAAGACCCAGAATAAAAAATCATATCGATGTGAATTAAGGGGAGGGCTGAGTGGAGACCCAAAGCCAATCTGTAGACAATTGGACATCCCCGTACAGTGGGGTCCTGTAATAGTCTGGGTATTTTAGAGAAACAAATCCACAAAAACTCATGTATAAGAGAGTTTTATATAAAGAGTAAGTGCACATCAAGAAAACATCCCAACCCAGTGCTGCCCAAGCCCACAAGTCCAACATTAACCCATATGTCCAACACCAATCCACAAAATCCTCCCCCATCTCACAAAACACACACTATGACACTGACTGCAAAAGGAAAGCTGAATCAGTGAACGTGTAAGTATCTCAGCGCTGGCAGGAGTCTCCACACGGTTGCTCCAGCACCCAGAGCTGCATTGGGGTAGGTCCATGCAGCTTCTCCTCAGGGATGTCTTGCAGGAAGTGAGCCTTGCCAGCTGAAGCAGACAACTGGCAAAGACAGCTGCACCCTGGTCTGACCATCACAAAGCAAGAGGACCCAGAATCCGAAAGGCGAGGCTCACCGAGCCATTTATTTCTCCATCCTTCGATTAACCCTATATGTGTTTATTGGCCAGGTTGGCACAATAAACTAAATCAGGTCCAAAGAAAGAGATGAGCCAGTCAGGGAGCAGGATAGCACCCACAAAACATACAACTTTCCTCTAGTTCTTTAATGCCGCCCTCCACTATCTTGACCCCAATTCTACCTTCCAAATCTGGCTAGACCAGAGCATGTACACTGGCACAGATAAGAGCTCACAGTACAGGGAATCCAGGACAGATAAACCCTTCAGGACAAATAATGAGAGTAGTGATACCAGGAGGGCAGGGAGAAGGTGGGGGGGGGAGATAGGGGGAACCAATCAAAATGATCGACATAACCACCCCTCCAGGGGTACGAACAACAAAAAAGTGGGTGAAAGCAGACAGTGTAAAATATGAAAATAATAACAATAATTTATAATTTTTCAAGGGTTCATGAGGGAAAAATGAACTGATACTAAGGGCTCAAGTAGGAAGAAAATATTTTGAAAATGCTGATGACAACATATGTACAAAAGTGCTTGATTGACACAATGGATGGGAGGATGGATGGCTTGTGATAAGGGCTGTAAGAGCCCCCAATAAAATGATTTTTTTAAAAGACAAAAACAAAGTAGGTGGACTTTAAGTCTCAGACTTTTTTCCCCCACTGTGAATCTTTTTATGTTTATTGAGGTATGAAGACAAACTAAATGTATTCCCGCATGCCTTACATTCATAAGGCTTCTCTCCACTGTGATTTCTCATATGCCTATGCAAGTATGAAACAAGATGAACAACTTTGCCACATTCCTTACAATCAAAAGGCCTCTTTTCTTTTCTTTTTTAAACATTTTATTAGGGGCTCATACAACTGTTATTGCAATCCATACACACATCAATTGTGTAAAGCGCATTTGTATATCATTCTCAAAACATTTTCTCTCCACTTAAGCCCCCGGCAGTAGGTCCTCATTTTTCCCCTCCCTCCCCGCTCCCCCCTCCCTCATGAGCCCTTGATAGTTTATAAATTGTTATTTTGTCATATCTTGCCCTGTCCGACATCTCCCTTCACCCACTTTTCTGTTGTCCGTCCCCCAGGGAGGAGGTCACATATAGTCCCTTGTAATCGGTTCCCTCTTTCCTACCCACTCTCCCTCCACCCTTCCTGTTTCGCCACTCACACCACTGGTCCTGTAGGGTTCATCCGCCCTGGATTCCCTGTATTTTCAGTTCCTATCTGTACCGGTGTACATCCTCTGGTCTAGCCAGACTTGCAAGGTCGAATTCGAGTCATGGTAGTGGGAGCGGGGAGGAAACCTTTAGGAACTAGAAGAAGATTGTATTTCTCATCATTGTTACATCGCACCCTGACTGGCTCATCTCTTCCCCGAGACCCCTCTGCAAGGGGATCTCCAGTGGCAAAGGGCCTCTTTTCTCTGTGTTGTCTTAAATGTACAGACACCTCTGAGGATTTGCCGAAGGTGCATTTACCATAGTCATTACATTCTTTGGGTTTCACTGCAGGAAGAGTTCTCATAGGACTGCAGGAGTCAGGAAGACAGCTGCAGCCTTCTCCATGTTCGCCATGTAATAGGTGTCACATTCAGAGTGAAAACTAGGACGCCTAAGTGGTGATGTTGTGTCATGGAGGATTTTCCACAGTGAAGGGACATTGAAGGATATGGTTCATTAAAGGTTCTTTTGAATATGTGAAGATCTGGAATCCAGCTGAAGGTCCATCCACGCTGAATTTCCTTTTTAATTGCACAGACATTCTGTTCAATATGTCTTTTCTTACAAGTGTTCTGCTTGTTACCTGGATCTTTAGTGACAT